TTTTGCTTGACCGTGCATTCGACTGTGCGTCGGACGGTGTCGCATGTGCGCGCATGTGCGGCAATGCTGTTGAGGCTGTTGTACCTGTGCATGGGCATGTGCATGCGACTGCGCGGCATGTGCCTGCATGTGCGGCCCCTTCCGGGCCACAATTTCAAAGTGAGCACTATAGAAGTGAGCGCTATAGAAGTGAGTCCGGTGTACATATTGCGGGATCAATGTTGTACACTTTGTGTGGTGCAGTATGTAGTGCAGCCCACGTGGTACAATCTATGTGGTGCGATTCGCCAGAGCTCAACTTGAGATTGTCAACCCCATTGTTCGCGCAATCATTCCACCCACCCACCCGCAAGTTGGTTCGCAAAACCCATTCGGAGGAGATTGCGATGAGTGCTTGGTACCGGTTGGTGCATCTCTGCGGCCGCGCTAGCCCGCACATGCACGCGCGCGTAGTGGCCAGCTTGTTTGGCGCGACCGACGCTGACCGCCGGGGGGGCCGATACTGGGATCGCTCGGGATGGTACGAATTCATAAGTTAGGATGGGCGATGGGGCAGAACCATATGCAACTTGCAGTACGAAAAGTGGCCCGTGAACCCGGGGGGGGGGTATGTTTTGAAGAAAGCAAGGAGAGTTCATTTTGAAATATTTGAAGTTGTCAAGCCTACTGCTCTTCAAAAGCCATGCGGCCGCGATTGCGAGTGCTTGGTGTTGACAGGCGCATCCCTAGCCCGCGCATGCTCGCGATAATAGCGGCCAGCTGGTTTGGCGCGGCCGACGCGGTCGAGGTGGCGCTGACCGCCGGGCACTTGCCAGCGGGCGCCGCAGTGCGAGCCGGCGATTTGTATGGGCGCGGCTTCATAGCAACGGCGACAACGGTATACATGATAATGTTGATAGCGATGCTGGTGACGATGGTGACATCGACGACGGCACGGCCAGTGACGGCTCCGATGTTGGGCACGCCGACGGCGATGCAGGCGTCCTCGCGTCGGTGATGAAGGTTGCGAAAGGAGTTCGACATGCGCTCGCGGCCGACGCGCGAGAGTGGCCCGCATGGTGTTATTTGGCACGGATCGTGCCCCCCCCCCAGCACGCGCGCAAGGGCGTTCGAATGATGGCATTCGGCGCGAAGAGGTCCGTGTTTGGCACAACCCCCATGGTTTTTAAGAGTTAGCAACATCGCGCGCCCCGGATACTTGTTCGAACAAATCCAGGGGAGAACCCATTTAAAAAGACAGCTTTACGACACGCTCGGTTGTTGAAGGATTCAGGCATGCGCGCGCGACGACGCGCACGCGTGTATTTCGTCACATTTGTTCTACGGGGTTCTTGCGACAACACGCGCGCAAGGGCGTTCGAACGATTCCGACATGCGCACGCGCGAAGCCATTTTGGTAACGTTTTGGAAAGTGTTGAAAACAACCATATGGTTGTTTTACGAGTTCAATTGCGCGCGAGACTTTCCATGTGATGTTCAATATGTTTTGAGACATTCGTTTTAAATTTCTCTGAAACCCAGAGTTTTTTTAAGGATTCCGGCATGCGCGCGACGACACACGCATCCGCTTGTCGTCCCATTTTTCCAAAAGGCGATTGGATTTGATGACGTTTCATAAACGAGTGCGCGCGCATACTGTTATTTGACAGGGACGAAGCGGGGAGGGCGGTACCGGGATCGCCTGAGATGGTACGCGCTCATTTTTAGGATGGGCGATGGGGCAGATATGAATTGCAATGCGACAAGTGGACCGTTCATCCCGGAGGGGGGTCGGTATGTGTTTAAGAAGAAAGAGAATTCATATTGCAGAATTTGAAGTTGTCATCTCTGCGGTTCTTCGAAAGCCATGCGGCCGCGATTGCGATGAGTGCTGGGCGTTGGCTGGCGCATCCCTAGCCCGCGCACGCTCGCGAGAATAGCGGCCAGCTGGTTTGGCGCGGCCGACGCGGTCGAGGTGGCGCTGACCGCCGGGCACTTGCCAGCGGGCGCCGCAGTGCGAGCCGGCGATTTGTATGGGCGCGGCTTCATAGCAATGGCGACAACGGTATGCATGATAACGATACTAGCGATGCTGGTGACGATGGTGACAACGACGACGGCACGGCTAGTGACGGCTCCGATGTTGGGCACGCCGACGGCGATGCAGGCGTCCTCGCGTCGGTGATGAAGGTTGCGAAAGGAGTTCGACATGCGCGCGCGGCCGACGCGCGAGAGTGGCCCGCATGGTGTTATTTGGCACGGATCGTGCCCCCTCCCCCCACCCAGCACGCGCGCAAGGGCGTTCGAATGAGTTCGGCATGCGGCGCGAAAGGGTTGTTCGGCAGAGTTCCATGAACATGGTGAACGTCCATGGTTTCCATAAGAACCAACAAGAGTGCGAGCACAGGTTTGTTAGGTTTGAAAACTGCCGTTGAAACGTCAGGTGTGTTTAGCATGTTTTCGGGGCGCCCGCTTTCCTAAATTATTGCGAGACCTACGGATTGTGAAAAGTTTCGGCCTGTGCGCACGACGACGCGCGCGCGGACTTCATCACATCTAGTGGAAACTGTTTTTACCACAGCACGCGCGCATGGGCCTTCGAATGAGCTCAGCATGTGTTTGCGAGAGGCCTCCTTCGCAGCATGTTGTGCACAGGTGGCAACAACCTAAGGTTGCCTTAAGAATTCGCACGCGTGCGGGCGCAACATGTTTTGTTTGTGTTGTCCGCCCTTGTTGCGAAGCCATGTGCTGTATTTGTTTTCGAGACATTCAATGTTTGATATATTTGCGGAACCAGCCGGTTCCCCCCTCCGCCCACGGATTTTGGCATGCACGCGCGGCGACGCGCGCTTGTGCATCCGTCTGGATGTTTGCAAAAAAAGGATTTTTGGAAATGGATGACTTGTGATCAATGAATGAGAGCGCACGAGGACGAGGGGGGCGCGATTGGTTTGGCAGGACGGATGCGAGTTCATCATATGTCGGATTGACGATGGGGCAGAGTCATTCATACACTGCACTACGAACAGGAAGTGCGTCAAGTCGGTGGGTGGGGACTTGTTAATATTCGTTTTTCAAAAAAGGGAACGAATTCAATCTGCACGACCTGAAGTTGTCAATTCAACTGCTCGTGCAATCGCCCCACCCACCCACCCGCAACTTGGTTTGCAAATCCCATACGGACGCGATTGCGATGACCGTTTGGCGCTGGATGGCGCATCGCTGCGGCCGCGGTGGCGCGTGGAGGTTCGCGCGCAGACCGGCCATCTAGTTTGGCGCGATCGACGCGGCCGCGGTGGCGCTGACAGTTGGGGATTGCCCAGCGCATCTCGCATGCCGCGCTGGCGCGCGGGCGTTTTCGTGCGGGCGCGGCTTTCATGGCGACGTGGACAACGGCAGGCAACATCATGATAGTGGCGATGATGGTGGCGTTGATGGCGGTGACGACGTAAATGCGAATGGCGGCGCCGATGTTGGGCAGGCCGTCAACGATGAATGTGCCCACGCGTCGGCGATGCATGGTTTTTGCATGATTTCGACATGCGCGTGCGGCCGACGCGGGCGACCGCCCCACCCCCAGCACGCGCGCAAAGGCGTTCGAAACATATCGACACGCGCGCGCGAGAGGGCCGGTAGGTCGCATGTGATGAAAATTGCGAAAGTGGATGGGTTTCTAAGGGGTCCGCAAGTGCGCGCGCGCCGTTTTCCTGGACAGGCATATTGCAAAATCATTGGTGCCGGATGTGTCCCGATACCGCCGATTCCGAGATCCTGACTCAACCTGCGGATGTTTGATGAAAACTTGCACCCGCGCGTGACGACGCGCGCGTGCCGGCCTTGTCATACACGCAGCAAACACCAGCTGGACAAGTACGATTATTGATACACTGATGCGCGCGCGTAGTCCGATCTGACAACGATAGGGGGGGAACAATCACGGGTTTAGTTGGGATTGTATGAGTTCATATCGTGATTGGGCGATAGGGCGAATACATGTGTACATTGCCGTGTCCCTGGAGGGCGATAGTTCCGGGTGTGGCGTGGTATGTGGACCAACCATTGTGTTGCATTATATATATATATATTGGGCAATATACGTTGTGCAACCGATGTTGTGCAACTAACGTCGTTCAATCTCATGGTGCAGTATATGTGGCGCAATTCATGTGATACCGTATATGTTGGGCAATCTACGTGGGGTAATCTATGTGGGGAAATACGCGTGGTGCAAACAATGGTGTGCAGTCCGTGTTGTACAATCTACGTTGTAAATATATATTTTGCGCAATCTATGTCCTGCATTTTGTGGTGCAGCGTATGTGATGCAGTCCTTGTTGTGGCGACGGGGCGGCGACGGCGACCACAGAATCGTCAACCCAACCCCCTAGCCCAGACCATGGACTCCTCCTTCAAGCGCTTGAGGATACTCTTGTAGTCGTTCAGCGTGTGTTTGCGGCGCCTCTTCCTGGGCGCCGTTGGGGTAGACGTGCTCGTAGTAGCGCCCTGCGCGACCGAAGAACCCAGCGTGTCCTCCACCATGGCATTGGGAAGCAAAGCGGGCTCCTCCTTAGCAGCCTGGATGGGAGACGAACGGGAAACCCCAAGCCGTGGGGAGAAGGGCGAGACCACCGGAGCCTCCACCTGCGGCATCACCTGCGTGTCGAACTGCTCCTTCGCCGTTTGCTGCGCCTCCACTGCGATTCAGCAGCGCTCCCAGCGCGGAAGCAACTTCACTGGCGCCGACGCGTCCTGCTCCTCCGCCGCTGGGTGCCTGCAGCCATGTGCCAGGGGCGGCGACGGCGGCGGGTGGATGAACTGGCGCTGCGAGTCCGCCATCGAGAAGAAAAACCTCGAGCGAGCCGAAAGACTCAGCAAAGGCTGAGACGCGCGCCCCGAGGTCGCCGTTGACGAGGTGCACCGGCACGAAGAGGCGCAGCTCGGGACCCTTTGATACCATGCACCGGTAACCCCCCAGCGTTCACTGCCGCACGCCAGGCGGAAGCGCTCAAGCCAGCAGCATAATGGCCATCAGCCCTGGGGAAGCGCGAGCCGTCAAGGATCCTGAGAGGGCTCGAGCCCGAGCTTGAGGGGAGGAGGTGGAGTTGGGTGGAGGAGGGATAAGGAGGAGGAGGAGGAAGAGGAGGAGGGAATGGAGGAGGGATGGAGGAGAGATAAAGGGAGGCATAAAGGGAGGGATAGTCGGGAAGAGGACGAGGAGGGAATATGCTGGACGGGATACTGGAACGGCTCAGGAGGTTCTCGTGATGCGAGAGTGGTTTCAGGAGGCCCTCATTCTTGCCATTCTTCCTTGTTCCCCCAGTCCTGCCTCCCTCCCTCCCTCTTCATCCTGCCCTCTTCCATCCCATCCTCCCTCCTCTACTCCGTCCCTCCCCTCTCTCCTCACTCTGTTGCTGATGTTCCCCCGCGTCATGCCCCAGTACTACTCCACCCTTCTACTTCCTTTCCCCTCGTCTTCCTCACTCCACACCCCTCAATCCTTATCACTCCCGTATCCTTCCTACTCCTCTATCTTCATCCCTTTCCTTTATTCTTCGCCCATCCCCAGGCATAGACCACAAGTCCGCCCTGAACCAGTACTGCCACAAGTACTGCTCCCGTCCCGTGACCAAGGACGACGTAGTGTACACGAAGACGAAGTTCGGTACCAGGCTCTTCTTCCTCCTCTTCCCAAAGTGTGCATGCCTTCCTCTTCTCCCTCCTTGCGCATCCCTCCTCCTTCCCGCCAAGTCCTTCCTCTCTTGGTCCCCGAGCGATGTTCCTTCTACTTCCAAAGGTCGAGTCCTTCTTACCCCTTTCGCCAAGCCCTCCCCCTCCTCTTTCGCCTGATCCTCCAGCAGTCTTCCTACGTTTGTTACTCCTCATCCTCCCTCTCTCCCTCCGTCCGTCCCTCCCTCCTCCATCCCAGTTTCTCCTCCGTATCCCGAAAAGGCGTGGAAGCAGGATGAGGATGAAAAGGTAGAGGGAGGGAAATGCAGGGACGAGGGAGGAGAAGTTGAAAGACGACGAGGCCTGAACAAGGAGAAGGAGGAGGACGGACGAGCCCGATCAGACAAAGCTCGGCGCCAGGCAGTTCCAGGCCATCGTCAAGCTCAACTGCATGGGCGGCCAGGACCGCCGCCAGAGCGTGTCCGCACCCCCCGCCGCCCTGCGGAGTTAGACCCACCCGCCGACCTCCCCAGGAGTGGTGGATTCGGAGCGCCTGCAGCCTTGACACCCTCGCGTCGCGACACAGACAGAAGTTCGACGGGCGGGTTTGGGCAGGTTTCGCATTCATTCGGGGGCCTTGACCGGGGACCCAGGGCAGCAAAAAAAGGGCCCTCTGAGACGGCCTAAACAGACGCCTCGTTCCCTGGGGAGTTGTCGAGAGGTCCTGGGGACCGCATTGCAAAAATACACTGTCGCAGGTCGTAGTGGGGGTCGGCCCTGACGAGGGTCAGCCATCTCTGATTCCGTTGACCTGGGGTTTGGGAGTTTGGGAGCCGCTGCAGCCAAGACGCTGAAAGAAGGACTACTTGGGGCTTAGGGAGTGGCCCTGGACTTTGGGCGGCTTCTCAGATTTGGGTCGTGGAGCCTACGTAGTCGTGGCCGGCTGTGCCTGGACTCGGCTTGCCGCGCGCAGGGTTCGCGCCGCGTCGGCGCGCAGGGGACGCCTCGGGTGCAAGTGTTTGGCGTTTGCTTTCTTGGAGGGGGCTCTGAGTTCCTCAATCGCAGGGTGTCGGTCGTCTGGGGATCGCCCCTCCTTTCTTCCCCCTTTTCTCCCTCTATCATCCGCCCTCTGGATATCATCAGCCAGAGTGTTCCCACCCAAGGCCTCAGGCGCACCAGCGCCTGAGGGTGGGGCGGTATCTCCATGGACCGCTCCCCAGTCGCTATGAGCCAAAGGAGTCATGGGGTCCTGGGGGAAATGAGCCCTGAGGTTTCAGACTGCTATCGGTCCCTCATGGTTCTTCCCAGGCCTTGGAACCATCAAAGAACGGCATGGGATGAAACGCCGGTGGGGGAGCCTTCGGAGTGTCCAGGACCCGTTTTCTCCAAGGCCCCCGTCGTCGTTGTTTTTGTTCGCACCGCGGGCCCATGGAGTTATGGACCCCTTCCAGGGGACCGGCTTTTCACCCTGAGTCGTATTTGACGGTCCCAGGTGTCGGTGGGGCGCTCCAGAAGACGACCGAGGGCCCCAATCTGTCTGTTTTTTTTTTTGTTTTAACGACGCGAGGAAACCTGGCTTGGGCTCAGGGTCATCTGAGCAGCTCAGAAAACCAGAGTCGCTTGTGCCCACACTCGCGCGCAAGCTGGCCGCGTAAGGTCTCGCGCGCGCGCGCCCTCGATTCCAATGTAGCGTGCCGCGCTGGCGGGCCGTGCAGACAGCGGCGTAAGGTCGCTATGTCCTCGTGCGTGAGACCAGCTTCTGTTCGTCACTCGTCTGCTTACTCATGGCAGCACGGCAGCATATCTCAGGAGGGGAAAAAACACAGACACTATTGAATCGTCGATCCCCAGGAAAATATAGGAAAATATGGGAAGTGGGGGGAAGAGCAAAACCCAGAAGATCTGGAAACATATAGGGAATCCTGGGACTCGTGCGTACTGGTTTGTGTGTCCCTGGGCCCCTTCAACACCCGCCGCTGCCCTCGGGCAAGCACCGGCAGGACGGCGCAGGGGCCGTGGGGCGCACCTCCCGGAACAGGCCTCCGCCCCCGTGGCTTCCTCACGACGGGGGCCCCCCCCTCGGAGCTCTCGCCCCCGCCCCTCGGAGCGAACGACATCGGCTGCACGGGAAGCTCTCCATCGTCCAGCCTATCCCGCGTCCCGCCGGGCCACGGTATCTCGGCCCACCCATCCTCCCTTCCCTCCCACCCCATTGGGGACAGGCCCCCTCGAATCCCAAGGGCCAAGGGGAGCAGCCTCCATCTAGGGGTGCAAATCGGCCAGTGGGGCCAAGGCCATGCCAGAGGGGACGGGGATCGGTTGAATGACGCTGAGAAAAGAGCGAGGACGACGACCGATAGCAGCAGCAGTTCCTTCTCACCGTCAACACGGCCCGCTGACGAAGTCGCCGCGGACGAACTTTGACAGCAGCTCCAGTTCACCTCGAGCTCAATCGTCTAACCGATCTCCATCCCAACTGTGCCATGTGGTATCTCAGCCACCAGGTCAACCGCCCAGGTGGCGATGGGTCCCGCTAGATCCAAATGGAAAAGCGTACCCCCACATCGGGGGTTAAGTCGGCCAGGTTTGGACAACCTTTGCCGTGGGGCCTCGCATTTGTTTCGCGCACACTTCGGGCGTGCCAAATATCCCAGGGCCAGTTGTTTTATCGTTGCGGGTCGCCAGCCTGGAGCGAGCTTCCCGAGGCCCAGACCCGTCGTATGTTTTGTTCCTTCGTGGCTCCCGGAGGTCACGTGGGGCGGCCAATCACTCTTCCTCCAGAATCTGTCCACAGAACTCTCCAAGACGCCACCCTTGTCAAGTTGTTATAGCTGCATCCAGCCGTGGCCACAGCAGTCTAGGCCCCAGGCCTCCCAAAGGGGGTCCATGTAGATGGTGTCGGTGGATCGTGCCGCATCGCCGATGCATCAGGGATGCAGCTCGATGTGGAGCCCGACTTTCTCCACGCCAGCGATGCAGCGCGATCCTCCGACCCCATCTATTCGGACCCCATCTGGAAGGCCTCTGTACACGGAGCCCTCCGAATCCGAAGAGAAACCAGACATTTCAAAGGTCTTTGTCCCCCTGGGGGGCGGCGCGCAGGAGTACGCTGGCGATGTGTGTGAGACGTCCAAGGAGGCAGAGAAGGCCGCGGCGTTCCAGGCGCTCGAGGCGTACAAGAGCGTGCCACTTCCTTCACCGCCGCCCCCGGGGGGCAGGACCCCCGTGGGGCAAAAAGGTTTCCCTTTCCCGCGCGCATCATCTCGGTGTCATCGTCGACCACCTCGTTTGGAGTAAACCAGGTCACCCCCAGCAGCGCGAAGATAGTCGCGTTTCGCACACCGCGGCTTGGGTTGGAGAGCTGCCTCTCGGGGAGCGGCGTGAGGGAGCGATGGCGCGAAGATAACCGCGTGTATCGCATCGGGTAGCGCGAGGCGCGAAATTAGGCGAACCGGTCATTGTCTGTCCTTGGGTACGTGGCTCAAGTGGGGTTTCGTGGTGCGGATTTTTGTTGCGTTGTTGCGTTTTTTGTTTGTTGTCGTCGTCGTCGTGGTCGCCCGCGATCCGCCGCGACCCACCCTGCGACCCATCCGCGACCCACCCGCGACCCACCCACGTTGCTTTGACGAAAATTCGGCGCCTGCGGCGGGCTTGTTGTGCAGAGTGTTTCAAAGGTCGGCGCCTGCGGCGGGCTTCTTCGGAGCTTCGCAGACTGTCGACGACCCCGCCGCCCCCTCACTCTTATCCGCAATTGCGGGTGTGCTACGTATATGTTGCAAACGTCGCTTCGACAGGTTCTTGTCGCCTCAGCCGGGCGCGGCTCGGAAGGAGGTCCAGATCTGAAGGGGTGGGGCGAGTCGGCGGATGCTGGCCGGTGGCAGGGCGAGGGTGCAGATTTTTCAGGAGCCGGCGGTCCCTTCTCAGGCAGGCTCCTGCTGAGACGGTCGCCACCCACGCGCCACCGCTCCAGTCCGCCGCCAATCATCCTGTTCCAAACAGGGGGCGGACGGGTAAAGAACTCAGGTCATTGACCATCCCTGGGTGCGTGGCTAGGTAGGATTCCGCGGGGCGGACTGTCGTTGCGCTATTTCGTTGCGTTGTTGCGCTGTCGTCGTCGTCCTCGCCCGTGACCCGCCCGCGACCCAGCCCGCGGCCCACCCCGCGACCAACCCCGCGACCCACCCGCGACACACCAACACTGCTTGGACGGAAGTTCGGCGCCTGCGGCGGGCTCGTTGCGTAAGATGTTTCAAGCATCGGGCCGACGATGCCGCCGTTCCCTCTCTTGTCCGCAGCTGCGAGGTGCCGTGCATCCGGCGCGAAGTTTTTCGTGGCGCAGGCCTCCAAAGCTCTCGATCCTTTCCCCGGGAGCCAGTGTTTCGTCGCGAGTCTTCCCGGGGACCCCCAGAAACTTGTTCTGGACGGCGACAATTGCGAGAACAATTTGGCGCGATTGTTTGTTGTTTCGCCAGGGGTTTAGGGCCGCCTCCCTCAAAGTTGGCCCCGCAGACTTCCCCGGGGTGCGTTGTGGCCATACGTTCGAGGCAAATCCAGCCGTGCCGACGAGGGCGCCCCAGGAGGCCCCGAACCATTCCGAAACGTTCAAATATTTTCTCCTCGATCATCCCTTACCGTCCGACCGCGCGCAGGAAGAACAGGGTCCCCACCCTGCAGACCAGGAGCGTCGACCCCGCCACGGGCGAGCTGGTGGAGAACGACGAGTTCGGAGATGAAGATAACCCCGCGTTGACGAACAAGGCTCCCCCCTTCAAAAAATGTCGTGAGCTCGTGAGAGATACGGGTCCTGGAGTTTTTTGGTTCCCGATTTCGGGCTCCCAGGGCGCTCCTCTGGCCTCGTGCCCGTCAAAAAAGACAAATTCTGGATGAAGAGCTGCTCCCAGGGGGCAAGCCCCAGGATACAGGAACTCTTTCCGCCAGGACCCGCGTCCTCAACTTACCAGCCTGGAACATATCCCTATCCCTATGCTGGGCATCTCCTCATCACGATGCCAATCTCAGGGATTCCCTTATTTTTTGAGGGCGCATCCCTAAGATTGTCATCGCCTTTTGGCGTGTCAATCTTCGGGATCGGGATAAGTTCGAGGCTGGTATTCAGCCAGTAGCAACAACATCAACCGCTCTGACGTTTGTTTTTCAGGCAGCGGTCGAGCGCAGCGCTCTCTCCCCCCCAAACGACTTGAACGGGGGGGGGTGAGGGGCGGTGGAAAGGGGGCGGCATTAGCGCGCCCCCCCTGCCGTTTGGCTCAGGCACGCGCGCCCTATCCGACAGTTGAAAGCTTATCGGTGCCACGTGAGGTGGAAAGGACCTGACCATCTTGATCTTCGTTCTCGACATTCCACCTGCATGTCTGCAGCATCCAAACAAGCAGTGCGCAATGTGCAGCGACCGAATCGCTGTCGAGTGCCCACCCGGAAGCCTGAAGTCCGCCCATGCTTCTCGGGCCGTCTCGGGCGATCCTGACGCCATGCGGGGGGCATCTCGGCCCGTCGTGGGGGGAGACTTTGGGGCCATCCTTTGTCGGGGCCCCCGTCGCCGTCTGGGAGACCATCTCGGCCGTCTCAGAGGGCATGTGGAGGCCGTCTGGAGCGGGAGCACCGCCGACCTGTGAATCTCACACGTGTTTTTACATGTCCTTCTGTGAAGGAACGCCGGCAGGGGGGGCGAGGGGCTTCTTCGGGAGCTTCGAGACGGGGGCCAATGCAAACGGGGGTCAGCCAGAGCGCCCGATCGTGCAGGATCCTGCAAGGCCAGGGTCGCATTGACCCGGGTTTGGGTGCAGGATCCTGCAGGATCTTACAGGATCCTTCGCTGACTTACCCGGGCTTGGGTGCAGGATCTTGCAGGATCTTGCAGGATTCTGCAAGGCCTGACTGACCCGGGTCTGGATTCCCGAGGCGGGAATTCGTACTCGACCACCGCCTGGAGGATCCATCTTCGGGGACCTCGTGGGCGGTGGATGTGGATAGATTCGGGCCCCCGGGGGCCAAAATATGTCCATGTCCGCCGCCCGCAGGGGCACCGGGGCGTCGTTTCCCAGGCGGCGGATGTGGATCAATCCCCGCCCGACCCGGGTCGGAAGATCCCCGGCTTCTGGCCCGCAGGGATGCGATCGGCCGAGATCGCCGGGCGCCCTTGCAAGCCGCGGGGGGGCGGCGGGTCCAGCACCCTGCGGCCCACGTCAGGAGGGAGAAAAACACACAGACACAGTCGATCGTCGATCCCCTGGAAAATGATGGGAAAATATGGGAAGTGGGGGGGAGGGCCAAAGCCCAGAAAACATGGGGGAGCCCTGTTGTTTGTGTGTGTGTGTGTGTGTTTGTTTGTGTGTCCCAGGCCCCCTTCACCATGTCGCCGCCGCTCTTGGGTTGCGCAGGTCGGAGGCCTCTTGGGTTGGGGCGCCTCGGGGCGTTGTGGGCCTCTCGGGGGCCGCCTTGGGGCTCGCTGTGGGCCTCTTTGAGGCCTGCCTTGAAGTCGGGCCTGTCCCTCTACAGGAGGAATACTCAAAAATAGTTTCAAAAAAACGTACGGGGATATTTTTATTTGTTTGATTTGTTTTGCCATTTTGGAGTATTTTTTATGGTATTTTATATAATTTGTCGTCGAAAATCCCCATGTAGGGGGACACGCCCGACTTAAGCCTGCCTGGGGGCAGCTGGGTTTTTTTGGAGAGTCCTGCTGAGCCTTCTTGGCGTGTTTTTTTTGTCGGGGGTGGGAGGTTCAGAGTTCCAGTTCGCGCCCTTCATCTGAAGTTCGTCTTGGGAGCCGTATTGGCCCGTCCTGGGACTGTCGTGGGCTCTTCGGCCATCTTGTGGCCTTTTGGGCCGTGTCGGGGTTTTCTTGGGTGCTCTTTGGCCGTCTTGGGGCGACTTTTGGGGCGTCCAGGTCCGTCTTGGTGAGTTGGAAGCGTGAAACAGTATGAGAATTCCAAAAACAGCCAAGGACACCACTAGGACATCTTTGGATTCTGCCTGTCAGCGCCTTCTCGAGGGAGTTGTTGGGGCTCTCTCCTGGCGTCTGGAAAATATCTGAAGTTGCCCAGGTGCAATTTTGCGCGCCTTCGAGCGGTCTTTCGGCAATTCTAGTCTCCCTGGGCCGCTCTGGGCCTTCTTGATCCGTCTGTGGGCCCCCCAGGCAGGAAACAAGTCATGCGGGAATACGTCCCGGCACGCGGGGGGCCATGGACCATTGAAGAATTTCTTGGCCTGGCCCCCGACGGAGGACTGCGGGTTCAAGGGATTTCCATGATTGAGGGCTCAAGGGACAGGACTGACAGCTCAAGGGGCCTGATACCACTCCATTCCGTGCCTCGAGGCGCGGTGGCGGTGCGAAATACATGATATGTACATTGTCGTATGTGGAGCACACTGCCAGAGCACGTAGCTAGTGTTCGAAGCGTAATGGTTCGTACATCGATGTCTACTTTGGTTTTCGGCCCATCCCACCATCGTGCCCGGGCCTTGGACAACCGGTTTCTTACAGGTCTTCGGGGTCCTAATGGGAGGCCTCCTGGGATCATGTTGGAAGACTCTTGGGAGCCTCTTGGAAGTCTCTGTGAGGTTTCTTGGCCTCGTGAGCCCTTCTGGGGGGCCTCTTGATGCTTCTTGGGCCTCCTCGCGATCTCCGGAGGGGGCATCTTTGGGGGAAGGGGCCCTCTTGGGGGCCTTCGTATGCCATCTTGGAGTGATCTTGGGGCCCTATTGGACTGGGCCGTCTTCGACGAACTTCAGACCAAAACGTTAAGAATGCGAGCTTCATACAACAACCCATGTTTTATCAGTGATTTCAGTCCCCAGGGTCCCAAGACGGCCCCAGGGCGGGTCCCCAGGGTCTCCAAGACGGCCCAAAAGGCGCCCGAGAGGGCTCCAAGACTCCAGGACACCCTGGGATCATCTGAAGTCATGCTGACCGCGTGGAATCACAGGATCCCGTTTCTTTATTGCTTGGGGCATGACGGGCGTCATGGCCCCCGCTCCCCCCCCTATGACGTAACGCTTCCCCCCAAGTCCGCTCCGGGCATTGCCGCCGTGCGCATTGGGATCCGCGTAGGTGTCCGCGTAGGAATCCGTATAGAAGTCTGGTCCGCAGTCGGCGTCGTCGTCGTCGTCGTCGTCGTCGTGGCTCGTCGCTCGACGCTCGACGCTCATCGTCGTCGTGCGCGCGGACGCGGCTGGAGCCTGTTTTTATTCCGGGCCGATTACGGCAATCATTTGGGGGGGTGGAGGGGGTCGATGACGTCTTGTTTCGCGCCTGCGGCGTCTGGGAATGTCCCGGAATGACGGAGACGGGTAGCACCAGCATGTAGGTGGCGATTTCACCACAACGCCTGTGTGCACCACAGTGCCCGCGTGCACCAAAGCGCCTGTGTACACCACACCGCCTATGTACACCACAGCAGCCGCCTGCAGCACAGCGTCAGTTTGTGCCACCGTGCTTGCGGGCATAACAGCTCTTGCGTACACCACAGCGCCTGCGTAAACCACATCAGCCGTGCGCAACACAACACCAGTGTACACCAGAATGCCTGCGTACATGGCAGTGCCTGTGTACACCACGGCGCCTGCGTGCACCACAACAACCGTGCGCATCACAGCACTACACCCACGGCGCTCAATAAGAAAGTCGGCTTTTCGTTTTAGCCTCTGCGGATTTCTTATGCCGCGGCCATGCTCAGCGCGCCAGGGGCTGCCAGTTTCTTACGGGCCAAGTTTCTTAAATCGTAGGCGCCATTCCAAAACCGCCGCGGAGGCTTCTTGATTCGCTTGTTGTGAGTGACAAGCGGGGCCCCGCATACATCCCCAAAATCAAAATCAAATCGTTTCCATGCGTTTTTGCTCATTAGCAATTGCGTCGGACTACAGGGCGTGCGTGGGCCCCCTTGGCATTTCGCGCCAATCTCTGGATTGCCTGCGTTGGTTTTTGTTTAATTGCGATGGCGATTGGTTGCGCCAAGGCGCGCCCCAGGACGCCGCGCGGCGGCGTCGACCTTTGGCGCGCTGCGGTGTTTGCTAATTCGCGATTGCGCATAGCTGCGCCAGTGCGCGCCCGAGGACGCCAGGCGGCGGCGCCGACCTCTGCTTTGTGCAATGTTTCTTGCTTATTTGCGATTGCGAGTGGCTGCGCCAGGGCGTGCCCCAGGACGCCACGCGGCGGCGCCGACCTCTGGCGCGCGCTGGTTTTTGCTTACTCACGATTGCGAGTGGCTGCTCCAGTGCGCGCCGCAGGGCGCCAGGCGGCGGCGCCGACCTCGGCGGCGGGCCGCGCGAGGAAGCCTGGCGGCCGCGACCCCCCTGGCTCGCTGGCGCTGGTTTCTGATCATTTGCGATTGTGTTTCCTTCCCCCCGGGCCCCGTCCAAGGACGCCTGTCGGCCGCGCGCCCCCCCCCTGGCTCGTTGGCGCTGGTTCCCGATTGTTTGCGATTGTGTTTCGACTTCCCAGGGCCCGCCCAAAGACGCCTGGCGGCCGCGACCCCCCTCGCTCGTTGGCGCTGGTTTCTGATTATTTGCGAATGTGTTTGCCCCCCCCGTGCCCCGTCCAAGAACGCCTGGCGGCCGCGCGCCACCCCTGGCTCGCTTGCGCCGGTTCCCGATTATTTGCGATTGTGTTTCGCCTTTCCAGTGCCCGCCCAGGGACGCCTGGCGGCCGCGACCCCACTGGCTCGCTGGCACTGGTTTCTGATTATTTTCGATTGTGCTTGCCGGGCCCCGTCCAAGGACGCCTGGCGGCCGCGCGCCCCCCC